TGTTCTGAAGGTTGTTCTTCCTAACATTTCGCCAGTCTCTGTGGCCGGCCTCTTCAGAATGCAAGTGAACAGTCAGTTCTTGAACAACCATTAGATCCCAGCCGTAAAAGCCTTCACGAATACTTAGGTTTAAGCTTTTCCTGTTGTATTCACTGTCAAGAAGAAATCATCATTTCTTTCTGTGATAATCAGGACCCTTGTCTCAGTTGCTATCTGTTGGCATTGATGGTTCCCAGTGTAGTGTAGTGGATAGAGTGATGGATTAGGATGCTGGAGAATCCCCTCTTAGCCATGGAAACTCATTGGGAGGAGTGGAACTTGTAAAACCACTCCTTAAATATCTCACCTTGAAAATCCTGCTAAGGTCACTATATGTCGGTTCCAACTTGACAGCATGTAACAACAAATGTTGGCATTTCATTCAGACAAAACATTGAGTATCTGACTTTATGCAGTTTAATGAAATACTGTAATATGGAATACATTCAAACAGCGAAGAGCAGGTGATGTAGTGGGGGAAATGCAGCACAGAATAGGTAGAGAAGTAGTACAGGAATACCTGGCTATTCTAAATGAATCCACGTCTCCAGGGCCATATGAATTACATCCAAGGATATTAAAAGAAGTGGCAAAAGTAATTTCAGAACCATTGGAATTAATATTTAAGAATTCTTGGAGATCAGGAGAAGTCCCCACAAACTGGAGGAGGGCAAATGTTGTCCCTATCTTCAAAAAGGGAAAAAAGAAGACCCAAATAATTATTGTCCAGTCAGCCTGACATCAATTCCCAGAAAAATTCTAGAGCACATCATTAAACAGTTTTTTTATTACTTAGAAAGCAATGCTGTCATCACTAAAAGTCAACATGGGTTTCACAAAAACAAGTCATGCCAGACTAATTTGATCTCTTTTTTTTATATAGAGTTATAGGCTTGATAGATGAAGGGAATGCTGTGGATGTAGCATATCTTGATTTCAGTAAGGCCTTTGACTAAGTTCCCCATGATATGCTTGCAAGGAAGCTAGTAAAATGTGGGCTAGACAGTGCTACTGTTCAGTGGATTTGTAATTGGTTGACTGAC